CGAAAGAAAGAGGTGTCTTCCAAAGATGTTAAAATGGCTGAGAAAGCCACTAGGGGGACATTCTGAGCTTCCGATTGGTTATTCATGTCATATATAGAAGTGTATATAAGGGAGTGTTTCCAAAAATGGAAAGAGGTGGGCAGTGTGCCACTGTGCTTTATTTATTACATGTCCAATATCTTAGCAAGTTGAAAAGATAAGAGGCTCTTATTTTATATTCTAACTTGTCAATATCGGTAATTTGAGTTCCTAATTCATACGAAACTATAGAATGTGTATTTTGACATCACAAACATCTAATTTAAACCAGTGCTGCATTCAACATACCACGTGACACACAAAAATCGATGTTTACGTGTGTTTAATATTTACTTTTAAATTAAGAAATTGAGTAATGTATAATACTAAAATTTCAATTATAATTTACAGTTTGATACCAAACTTATTGGCATAAATTCATGAAATAGTAGTTCAATAAAATTTTGAATGCGAGTCAATAAACGCGATGACATGGCCTTTCAACCGTGACCCGTCTGGAATGGGTTAAATATACGTAAATGATATTTGATATATTTAAAAAAATAAATTGACTGAGAAAAAAAAAAGAACTGTAACGACAGTCAAATATGGTAACAAACAGCTTAAAATATTTTATCCAATTTTTTCTTTCAAAGAGTACATAACATAAGAATATTTACTTTTTCTTGAATCATTTTCTTCTCATCTTTAATTTTTTGTTTGAGTTCTTCTTGAGCTTTACGGCGACGTTCTTCTTTACGTCTGTGAAATCCTTGTAAGTAATCCCTATAAAAAGGAAGAAATTAAAACACCAATAAATTTATTTTTATACTGCTGAGATAAATAGTTTAAGAAAAAAACTTTTACATGCAATAAAAATGCTCTTAAAGTAAAGCCCAACATCAAATATACAGGCTATATTTTGATGATAATTTACCCCTGGTGCAATATCCAGTGGTGACCATAAATCCCTTTTACAATATGCTTTTTACCACTTATGGTAATTTTTTTCATCCACTGCTAGTAAAAAATGGCATGATACTTGTTACAGTTAGATATACATATGGTTCCTCAAATGTCACCATGTGCTGCTAGGTGATATTCACACTTTTCTAGAGTTTGTCTTCCTTTCTTTTCTTGGATATGTCATAGAAGCAACTTGTTTACACAAGTTTTGTTGGTTTTTTTTCAAATGGAGATATTTCTTAATGATGTTGCATGGTGTTGCCTGGGGTATATTGATGGCTTTTATCACTGACCTTTCTTTTTTTTGGGTTCTTAGCTATTAAACGATGCCATACTCTGCTTACCATTTATTTATATGCTCATCTCACAGATTTTGATGTGCAGCACATAGAGTTTGACTAACTTGATTAATCTAATTAGTGTTTCCAACTATCTAATAATTGAAATATTGCCATGATAATTTTTGATTAATTCAAGGGAAAGAGTTCCATATGGCACCCCAACCCAAAACGTGTAGAATTTCCTGGATAAAAAAGATTCTGAAAAAGGTTTATTTTAAGGGGCGTATTAGAAAAATTGGGGCATGGCTTTTTGGGG